CTCTTGTTTATTCAAAAGGCCAGAACAGAACTGAACTGAGGAGCTCAGTCAGCCTGCTTATATAGAGCTCCAGAACAGTGTAACTGTTGCAACTTTCTAAAACTATCCAATCACTGAATGTCACTTTCGATCCTTCATTTGCATAACTATCTACAGTATCCCCCTGCTGGCCCAGGGTGAGAACTTCAGTACATAACATGCACAAAAATTTGTGGGTGCTCAGGAATGCAGGGCCACAGGGAGCCAGTATGTGTTTTACAACTCTCATAGCCCAAAGGGACAAAAGTCAAATCAGAAAACGAACCAACTCTCCTTTTGTATATCGCCAATTTACCGAATGAGGAGCAAGACTGTGTCGTTCATTTGTTCTATGTTTGACCCCTTTGCTGCACAACAAAAATGCTGCTAAAATCTTAAGCTTGTTGCCAGGCTTACTTGAAAAGGAGGCGCAGAAAGGACCTTGTTCTGCTGTCATCTTTCACGTGATTTCAAACCCAATTTCTTTTACAAAAGGTACAATGTAGGCAGTTAAAATATTGCCTAAGGTGCTCTTCTAACAGAGATTCTTTGAAAATACTTATATATAAAATATGTACACACACACACACACACACACACACACACACAGTATATACTCTGCAGCTCTGAGAGCTTTTAAGTCAGGAATGCTGAGTATTATCGTATACAGTGGTGCCTCGCAAGACGAAATTAATCCGTTCTGCAAGAGTCTTCGTCTAGCGGTTTTTTCGTCTTGCGAAGCAACCCTATTAGCGGCTTAACGGATTAGCGCTATTAGCGGTTTAGCGGCTATTAAAGGCTTAAAGGCTTAGCGGATTAGCTGCTAAAAGGCTATTAAAGGCTATTAAAGGCTTAACGGATTAGATAAAGGGGGGGGGGAAGCGAAAAAAAAATCTCAAGACTCGCAAGACATTTTCGTCTTGCGAAGCAAGCCCATAGGGAAATTCGTCCTGCGAAGCAACTCAAAAACGGAAAACCCTTTCGTCTAGCTGGTTTTCCGTCTTGCGAGGCATTCGTCTTGCGGGGCACCACTGTACTGAGGTCAGAAAAAGTGTTACTGTGTATGTGTGCATGTGTGTGTAAGAATCAGAGAATGTGCCCCCTCTAGTTTGAGCTACATTCTTCTGGCATGTATTGATATGTTATACCATGGGTGTGCAAACTAAGGCTCGGGGGCCGAATCCGGCCCAATCACCTTCTAAATCCAGCCTGCGGATGGTCCGGGAATCAGCATGTTTTTACATGAGTAGAATGTGTGCTTTTATTTAAAATGCACTTCTGGGTTATTAGTGAGGCATAGGAATTCGTTCATTCCCCCCCCCCCCAATATAGTCCGGCCCCCCACAAGGTCTGAGAGACAGTGGACTGGCCCCTGCTGAAAAGGTTTGCTGACCCCGTGTTATACAGTTGTACCTTGGTTAACTTAATCTGTTTCGGAAGTCCGTTCGACTCCCGAAACGGTTCGAAAACCAAGGCACGGCTTCCGATTGGCTGCAGGAGCTTCCTGCACTCCGTCGGAAGCTGCGTCGGACATTTGGCTTCCGAAAAACATTCACAAACCTGAACACTCACTTCTAGGTTTGCAGCGTTTGGGATCCAAAATGTCTGAGTACCAAGGCGTGCGACAACCAAGGTAGGACTGTATTACAGTTCACTTACCCATATTGAGTTACTTTATTTTGTGACAATTTGTAATTTGTTAATATGGTGAGTTATGAAATTATTTCAGTGGAGCCAATGTGGTGTAGTGGTTAGAGTATCAGACTAGGACCTGGGAGACCAGGGTTCAAATCCCCACTTAGCCATTAAGCTCACTGGGTGACCTTGGGCCAGTCACTGCCTCTCAGCCTTAAAGGTAAAGGGACCCCTAACCGTTAGGTCCAGTCGCGGATGACTCTGGGGTTGCGGCGCTCATCTCGCTTTACTGGCTGAGGGAGCCAGTGTACAGCTTCCGCGTCATGTGGCCAGCATGACTGAGCTGCTTCTGGTGAACCAGAACAGCGCATTGAAATGCCATTTACCTTCCCGCCGGAGCGGTACCTATTTATCTACTTGCACTTTGACGTGCTTTCGATCTGCTAGGTTGGCAGGAGCAGGGACTGAGCAACAGGAGCGCACCCCGTCGTGGGGATTCGAACTGCCGAACTTCCAATCGGCAAGCCCTAGGCTCTGTGGTTTAGACCACAGCGCCACCTGCATCTTACCCAGTGCTATTATCTCAGCCTTACCCAGTGCTATTTTTCTAGAAGAAGAGGCGCCGGAGCTCACCACAAACTTCTCCCTTGTTCTCTCAGATTGGCAATGGTGTCCACTGAGAAGTGCCAGAGCTAAGCTCTTGTGAGCTCCTGCTGGAAAGCACACACCTGGCCTTACCTACCCTGTAAGGTTGTTGTAAGGAAGATATGGGAAGAAGCAGGACTATGAATGCTACGCTGAGCTCCTTGGAGGAAAAGTGCGGTATAAAAGTAAAAATTATTAAATAAAAAACGCTCTTGTTGAAGCACCTCTCCTACCAAGTTCTTTGCTTTGTGCATTGCCTCTTTGGCACCTATGCATTAAGGCCAAAAACAACTGGAAAATATTTGGCTTAAACAAAGGACCTTCCTTTTTTGAGTGTGACAAAAATATTTGTCCGGGTTTTTGTTTGTTTGTGGGGTTTGTACAGTGGACGCTCAGGTTGCGAACGTGATACGTGCGGGATGCATGTTCGCAACCCACAGCTTCTGCGCATGCACAGCCGCCGAAACCCGGAAGTAACCCGTTCTGGTACTTCCGGGTTTCGACGGTCCGCAACCCAAAAAAACGCAACCTGAAGCGTCTGTAACCCGAGATATGACTGTACTAGCTTACTTCATCAATTGTCAAAACATAAGACCTTTCCGGCTAGGCAAAGTGAGGAGGGTCTGTGCTCTTGTTAAAAAGAAAGAAAGCATTTGTGTTTTGTTTAAAAAAAAAAGTTAAACATATTAACTTCACCCTGTCCTGACATACAAGTCCTGGGCTGTTTTCATGAGAAATCAATGTGCATAGATTTATATTGACAGAAATTTGCAGCTACTCCTAATCACATGATGCTCAGGACAATAAATGTTTTATGCGAGCGCATTACTGATAATTTATTGGGCAGCGAGGAAGAGGTAAAACAATAGGACGGGGGTCTGAGGAGTTGTAAATGGAAAAGGAAAGAAATAAAGGCTAGATTCATTTACCAACCATCCAATTATTTCAGGAGGCTGTTAGCAAAGATAACTTTGATCAGGCGGCTAATACGTTGCTGGCGTTCCAGCTAGAACATTTGGGGCCATGTTGCTAGAAGAGGGTTGGAATGCGTCCTTCGCAGAGAAGACAGCATACAAAGAGGCAAAGCATTTGGTCAGTTCCCCTGTCTCTCTCTGTAACTGGTATTTTTGCCCTTCCCTCTAGGACTACTGTTTTTTGGCCCACTTTCCAGGGCCATAGAGAGAGCAGCCAGCTGAAGTACCCAAGCCTCGGTTAAGGCATTACTCCATATTTATTCCTCCAGAACACCCCTATGTGGTATATGTGACTGAGGGTAAATTCAACGGCTGAGTGGAGATTTGAACACAGTCCTCACTGATGCACTGGATCTCCAGAGGTTTGTACACATGTTTCACCAAATATAGTCACAAGCTCTCTCGACACATGAGCAACTGTTTGTGTGAGTTTGTTGATTTGCCCCTTTAAGCCACTGTGTACACAGACTGTACACTCATTGAGAGTTACATGAGAATAACAGTATCATATGATATGAGGATGTAGCTCAAGAATTAGTGTGCACTCTTTGACTACAGTGTGTGAACTGTTGTAATATACAGTTACTTACTCACACTTGCAAGAACAAAAGGGTTAACCTGAGCCCTGAGCTCAAGTTGCCAGTGAGTGTGACTTAGCAGGCATCCAGCAGCCTTTGCTTCCCTTGCTTTCTTTTCTCTCTCGGTTCCTGGAATGAGCAAAGAAGGAGCCATATGGTTTGGCTCCCAGCTCAGCAAATGCTGCACGCAAATGGAAATTCTCTCTAAAAGAAGATTTCTACAGCCTTCATCTTTGCTAACCCAAAGATCGCATGATCCTTCTATAAGGAAACCAAATTATTTTCTTTTAAAAAGTCATTTGTAATATTTTTTCTACTTTATTTTACTGCCAATTGTTTGCTGTAACTTCTGAAACTCTGGAGTAAAATTTTCATTTATTTGTCAAGCTAAGCATCTCTGATTTATTCTTGCCTAAGTATTATCATAGGGCATGTTTGTTTAAAGGTGGATGGGGGCAGATGCAAATCTAACCACATGTTAATGTGCTTGGAGCAATTGCCATTGTGCTAACTCTTGCTATGAGGGAGTAAGAATCTCTCTTCCAAACATCTCTCTCCAACATGAACACCCCTTAACAAAGCATGAACAATGGAGTGTTGTTGTGCTTGTGTCTTACAGGAATGCAATAAGTAAAAAGCGGAAAAGAAGAGTTTCTTTCTTACATTCAATGTACTTTGGGATGCTCGCATGAAGAGCACAGCAGCAGCAGCAGCAGCAGCTGACACTTATACCTAACACTGTAAGTACCCGTTTACTCAATGGGGTCCTCTCTAGACATTGGATGCCACAGAAATGTGACCAAGGAGTGTTACATAAAACCAGTCATCTGGAGTTCATAGCCCAGGTCTTTTTGGTCTGGGATGACTCAGGGTTGCTATTATTATTATTTTTTAAAAAAACAACACAAAATTATGTGAAAGATCACCTTGGATGATGTCAGCTTGTCTTTGATTTCTTCTTCAGCAGCAGGAATTAAGCAGAAGAGAAAAATACATTGCTTGCCACCAATCTGTCAGTCAATTTTGAACGCTGCCTTTGTGTTATTTATTTCCTCCTCCTTTTCTTAATAAATAACCAAATGCATATCCTTAATACATCATGAGTATGTTATGGTAGATGCAATCAATTCTAATTTCCTGATGCTGTCATCACCATCATCACTGAATTGAGCCTGTGTGTGTGTGTGTGTGTGTGTGTGTATGTGTGTGCGCGCTTTTTGTTTCTGGATGAGAACAAAACAGCCAGATTGCTCTGCTAAATCTGTCCCAGTGTTGGAACATCTACAGACGCTCCCTTTGCATTCTCCATGCAGGGCTGGAGAGATTTTGATCTCTGCTAATGCTTCTCTCCTGAGTGCTTACCGAACCTGCAAAACACAGAAATAAAAAATGCAGATAGAATATGATTTTCTAGCTTCATTGAGCTATTTTAAAAAACCAGCCCCACGAAGGGATGAATGAACCTATCTGTTCTGGATTCTGTTGGTTTCTTATATTTTCATTCTTACGTTCAGTTATGTCATTTCCACATGACACTGCATTTCCCCCATGAAAATGCTTCAGCATTCTAGTGCCACTTTATCCTATTAAACACATCTTGGGATGCAATTTTGCCTAATCTACATGAGTTATGCCTCTCTCGGTTAGCTCATTCACCTCTGCTCCATCTAGGGAAATACAGCATCATATAACATACCCTGCAACATTTCTCTGATGAAAATAGGGACATCCTATTCAATAATAATAATAATAATAATAATAATAATAATAATAATAATAATAATAATTTTTTATTTATACCCCGCCTATCTGGGCGGCTTCAAAAAAAATATTAAAATACTGTAATACATCAAACATTAAAAGCTTCCCTAAACAGGGCTGCCTTCAGATGTCTTCTAAAAGTCTGGTAGTTGTTGTTCTCTTTGACATCTGGTGGGAGGGCATTCCACAGAGCGGGTGCCACTACCGAGAAGACCCTCTGCCTGGTTCCCTGTAACTTGGCTTCTCGCAGTGAGGGAACCGCCAGAAGGCCCTCTGCGCTGGACCTCAGTGTCCGGGCAGAACGATGGGGGTGGAGACGCTCCTTCAGATATACTGGACCGAGGGCGATTAAGGCTTTAAAGGTCAGCACCAACACTGAATTGTGCCCGGAAACGTTCCGTAAAAGTAATATTATACCCCACACATCTGACTGGGTTGCCCTAGCCACTCTGGGCAGCTTCCAACACACAGAAAAACATAATAAAACATTAAACATTTTTTTAAAAAACCTTCCCTATACAGGGCTGCCTTCAGATGTCTTCTGAAGGTTGTATAGCGACTTATCTCCTTGGCACAGGGTTTGCATAACTCCATACCCTCCAACCTTTCTTGGATGAAAATAGGGACGTCCTAAGGAAACACAGGTGGCTCTGTGATTTGCCGATCAGAAGGTCGGCGGTTCGAATCCCCGCGACGGGGTGAGCTCCTGTCGCTCGGTCCCTGCTCCTGCCAACTTAGCAGTTCGAAAGCACGTCAAAGTGCAAGTAGATAAATAGGTACCACTGCAGCAGGAAGGTAAATGGTGTTTCCGTGCGCTGCTCTGGTTCGCCAGAAGCGGCTTAATCATGCTGGTCACATGACCTGGAAGCTGTATGCCGGCTCCCTCAGCCAATAAAGCGAGATGAGCGCCGCAACCCCAGAGTCGGTCACGACTGGACCTAATGGGCAGGGGTCCCTTTACGTTACCTTTAAGGAAAAGCGGGACATTGCAGGATCAAATCAGAAACTGGAACAGCTTCTGTAAATCCGGGACTGTCCCTGGAAAATAGGGACACTTGGAGGGTCTATTCTTTTCATCTTACTGGGAAGTATGGTGACCTGGCGCAGAGGCGGAGCTAGCTGCTCAGGCACCCAGAGCAGCGCACATACTGTGTACCCAGGGGCGTGGCTAGCCGTCCACAGGGGTGGGGCTATCCACTCACAGGGATAGGGCAAGCGTCCCAGTGGCCACACCCACTTTCCTCCACCAGTGACCTGATGACCTGTGAGTCTGCTCGGTTTTGCTGGGCTAAGTGTGGATGGGCAACATCCAGTTTCCAGCTCTCTCTTCTTAGCATTCTGTATTTTTAAATTGGATCAGGATGGCACAGATGAGGATGCACAGCCACCCTAAGGAATGATGTGGTGCAGAAGGGACTCCACATGAGGACTGTGTTGTCATCTGGGCTTTATCACAGCACGGAGATATGATTGCTTCACCACCTCTCCATTGACTTCACACTGCCAGAAATAGTCTCTGCAGCTTGGAATTATACCCTCCCCTGAAAAAATGGGTCATATAAATTGACCCTCAGAGAGACATTTGCATTTTCACCTCTCTGAAGTTTAAGACGAGGATTTAGACACGGTGGGATTTTAGAATAAAGCAGGTGAGGCGAATTTCTATGGATTGGGCTGGTTGCATCCCCTGCTCATTTTCTTTTTGACTTTGGCTGGGGCAGCTGGAAGGGAAGGACGGCTCAGTGGGGAGCAATGGGCGTGTTAAGTGCTAATGGGGTCAGGCAGAGAGTCAGTGCGCAGACATCCTATCGCCCCAGCTGTGCTCTGATTCTGAACCTTTGGTCTACCGTATCTAGCCGTTTGAAATTTCCCCCCTCTGTGTTACAAATTCCTTTTTTGTTAAGAGTGTGGAAAGTTGAAGAAAAGAGTTCCAAAGTGTCTCTCCCTCCCTTTGTATTGTAGGAAGTCATTAATTTTGATTTGTCTGTCTTGGGTGCCTTGTCATCACATCCAGGTGACTTATCTAGGCCATATAGAGTCCAAATAAACAATGAAGATTCTCCATTAATCATCATTGTATTGGGGAGATGGCTGGGTGGGAAGTGGGGGCAGGATTCACTCCTGTAATTATTTTCTTTCTTGTTTTGGAGAGAGAGAAGATTTTGCTAGTTTAGAGTTCTGTAACAAAGAGAGATAAAAAAGAAAAACATCCTCATGTAGGGATGGAAGCGAAGAAGAAGAGTTATAATTCATCAACAGGTCAAGTAACACCAGAGTCCAAAAAGAGATAAATGGCACCGTGAGGTGTCATATTCATTTGTCTCAGCGATGAAAGTTCAGACAATTGACTTTGCAGAGAAAGTTTCACTGGAAGGAATAAAGTGTGCAACATCTTCCTGGGGCCCACAAGAGACTCGTAGAAGTTTCCGCTGCCTGTATTCACTATATCATGCCAGTCCTTAAATTGCCCATAGCCGTCTCCCAATTAGGGGATACAGGTGGGAAGGAAACTACTCTGTTAAAAAAGAGAATGGCAAAGGTGACGGAAGGAAACCGGGAGATCAATTGAAGGAATATTTTTGGTTCATCACCTCCTTGCTTGAAAACTGTCTGACTGAAAATGTAGTCTTGTCTCTCTATAGTCTTCTTGCACACTTGCGGGTATTTGTACGCACGACCCAACTTCTTCAAAGATTCCTTTTCCTGGTCAGCGATCCCAACCATCACACGAAGGCTGTGTGCAGACTGTGCCTTTGAAGTACACTCAGAGTTCACCCTTCCCCTCAAATAATTCTGGGCACTGCAGTTTGTGAAGCGCCGCTTGGGGATTGCAACTCTGTGAGGGGTAAACTACAGCGTCGGGGATTTCTTCGAGAAAGAATGTGCTTTGAGTATGTAAGTAGCTGAAGACTCCTGCTTTTGCAGTGATATTGACTGCAACACAGCGAGGGAAGCTGAGTAAAACTTAAGGTCAAAAACAGTCTTGTTATGTGTGCTTTGGAAGCTATAGATGTCAGATTATCTCAGGGGTCCTTTGGCATTTTAACCCTCACACGATAATGAGGAAAGTGGAAGGAGTCTGTGGGCATTTGCCACCCTCCATGTATGGGGTGCATGCGAATTTCCCCAGCGGGACCCCATGCAGTTTAGACCCATGGAAGTGTGGGGAGCATCTATGAGTACAAAATGGAGGAGGGTGGGACCAAAAGTCTTGTGCCTTCCCTCTCTCCCCCAATTCCAATCACACGAAGGGAGAACGACTGAACAGGGCATGGGATAAAAAGACAAACCAAACTATGCAGACACTATGGTTCAGTTGGTTAGAGCTTGTTGCTGATAACGCCAAGGTTGCAGGGTCTCCATTTTTGTTTTGTGTGTGAGAGGCTTGACAGTGATGGCTGCATCTCTGTGAACACTGAAGAAGAAGACAGTGAACACTGACGAAGAGACAGTGCTAGATGACTCTCTCTCTCTCTCTCTCTCTCTCTCTCTCTCTGAACGCAATAGAGGAGAGGAGGGCCGATGTTTCTGTGTGAATGTATGTTGCAGAAAGAAGTTGATGCATTCCCAAAGAAGCTGGAAGGAGAAGACTACTGGAAGGAGAAAGTGGAAACCTCTCAGAAGGAACTGCATGGCCTGGCTGGGTCATGGACAGTGTTAAGTTGTGGGTGAACATATCAGACGACACAGCGATTCTTCAAACAGCTCTTGTTTATTCACAGGCCAGAACAGAACTGAACTGAAGGGTTCAGCCAGCCTGCTTATATAGAGCTCCACTAGAACGCAACAGTAACCATTTTCTGTAACTATCCAATCACTGAACATCACTTTCAATCTCTTATTTGCATACGTGGACCTGAGTGAAAACTATCTACAGTATCCCCCTGCTGGCCCAGGGTGAGAACTTCAGTACATAACAGGCAGAAGGCTGGGTGCCAGTCCTGGAAAGAGAGAAAGACACAGTTTCTTTGAATGTTTAAGGAAGAAGCTGTAAACTTCAGCTAAGAAAAACCAAACCTTAGATAAGCATGTGAATGTAAATACTTTGCATATGTTCTTCTTTAGTTATATGTTCCGCAAGTAAAAGCTTTTGAATATTTTAACAAATGTTTGGGCATTGTTTTGATTTCAAACAAAGAGTCAGTACAGCGCATGATTTGGATTTCGAGTTGCAATTAGCTAGTCTGCTAACATACGCCACACTGTATGTAGGTATGAGCGGGAAGCGGGTGGCGCTGTGGTCTAAACCACCGAGCTGCTTGGGCATGCTGATCGTAAGGTCGGCAGTTTGAATC